CTGCAGGAGTTCCTCAGCAGACCATCGACTGTCCTCGTCTGCCTGCAGGCAGTGGCTCAGAAAGTCCTGCAGTGCAGGGGACAGTTTCTCGTGGTTTTGCAGCTCCGGTATCCCATCCAAAAAGATGAACTGCATGGCCTGGAGGAAAAGGAAACACGGGACTTTACCTCTTTCTTTCATCTCCCTAACTGCTCACCCAGACCCCATTTTTGACGCTCCATCCTCCAGTGGCACTTTCTTCCCGGGCAGAGGGTTCCAAATGATTTTCCAACACCAAGAAAAAGGCCCCAGTGCAGCCACAGCTCTTCCAACATCCAAATGATCTTACCTTGACAACTGATTTAATTGGCTGACCAAGTTAGGAGGAACTCCATCAGCAAAAGTACATTTTGCTTCTCTGAGGATGGACTTGACAGGCTTTCGAGGTTATTTTCAAGAGTGACGCAACTAAAGCTATAGCAGATGCGGATGTGCTCCAGGGTCTTTTTTTTGTTGACTTGGCCTTGGCTGAACTAGTTCAAGCTGGTGGCAATGGGATTTTTTCTCATGGGAGACAAAACATGGGACAGATTAGAAAGACAGTGGTTATGTGGTAGTATTTGCACCTTACCCTGTGAGGAGGCTCCCAAAAATAAGGAGGTTCTCCTTCCAGCATTTCTATCACCGTGATGCCCAGTGCCCAAATATCCACTTTGGCTCCATATTCGTCTTTACTTAGATATTCGGACGCCATCCAATGTGCTGTTCCAACGAGTGAGCTTCGTTTGCTCTGCTCAGGTGTGATGCGAGCAGCGAGACCAAAATCAGCTGAGGACAAAAGCCAGGATCATGAAAGCCAGCCTGAATCATGAAGCCAAGTGCAAGAGTTGCCCACTAGAAGTCTGAGGAGGCTGAATCCAGCAGGAAAAGCAGCCATGCTCGGTTTGCTCAAGGCTGTAAGCCAAGGACACCTTGTTCCTCTCTGCACGTTGCAAGTGTGCTCTCAGCTTGTAGCAGTGCTCCCTGCACTCCCACAGGCACTGTTTTGTGGAAACTGGCAGGCAGTCTCCAGCAGCCCCACACGCCACACCCCGGGAACACCACGCTTGACCAAGAACACCTACCCAACTTGACGGATCCATCCATTCCAAGAAGAACGTTATCGCCTTTGAGATCCCTGTGGATCACTTGACGGCAATGGAGGAATGTCAGTGCTTGCAGGCACTGAGAGAGAAAAAAGAAACAGGAGAGTAAAAGTGAATGACCCAATTTCATTACCCAAGAAAGGCAATGGCTTTAAAGATTTCAGTTCTAGGTGAACGGTGCGGACTGGCAGACCATGGTGGTGTCAAGAGGAAGAGCTTGCTGCTACCTCCTCACTAGTAAACCCCTGTCTTTTTAAGGGAAGGCACATTCCCTTTGGAGCTTTGGAAAGAGAAATGACAATTGTTGTCACACACCAGGTTGGGTGGAATGCTCTCCCTTTCAGCTGAGGACTGCAACAAATGAGTCTCTGTTTTTCTTTGCTGTTAGTATAAAATTCTGCCACCAGCATGTTTGCACTTACAGGCAGGGAATGCAGTACAGACAGGTTCCAGGCAAATGATTTGGCAAAGCTGAGAATAGTAAATAAAATAAGAAAGAAGAGAGAGGGTACAGCAAGAGTTGTACTGGCAGGCCATTCACTGAAGATGCTCTTTCTTCTCCGTATTGGAAAAGCGACACGGAAAGAAAGTTCTGAACATGAAATCACTCCTGTTCTTGCTGCTTGTTTAGAAGTCCTAGCCTGCCCAAAGAATTGGAAGCACCAGCGGCATCCCTTACCTCCCGGGAGACAGCTGCCATCAGTCCTTCACTCATGCTTATTTCCTTAACCACAGATCTTAAGGAGCCTCCGTCTAGGTATTCCATCACTATCATCAGTTTATCTCCAACCAGGTAGCTGAAAGAAGAAAAGAATGGCATGGAGAATGGGCGTAGCTAAATTACCCTACTTAAAAGACTAGAGTTGATTTCTGTCCTTGGAAGACTCGGGAATGAACACAGGATGAAATGCAGAGACATTCCTCCTAGGCTAGACACTCCTTGGAATCTGTGTAGTCTAAGCGAGAAAGGCACATCCGTGAAAACTGAGATATCTCAGGTGGCAAGGGAGTGAAAAATGCAGGGAAATAATTTCTAGGATGATTTCTCAGCAGTTATCATAAGAGACAGCAAATATGATCCACTTCAAAAGCAACCCCAAACAAACAGCCAAACCAGCCTGGAAGTAATGAACTTACAGGCTGTTGTTTTGGGAAGATAGGGATGACTTGAAACAATGTATGCCAGAAAAGATGAATGCAGACAAAATGCACTCTCCTCCCATCCATTGTATAGGAATAGATAAAAAATAAGAATAAGAAGCTGACTTCTCTGCCAGAGACCAAAGGAGGTTCTTTTAACCTTTGGCTTGCAGTCTGGAAAGGAACAGTCACATGACCATACCAGAACTACTTACCTGTCTAAATAGTTAACAATATTTGGATGCTTATTGTCCCTCATGACAATGAGCTCATCGACAATTTGTTCCTTTTTGAGCTGTTTTTGGAGATACACTTGCTTTATGGCCACCTAAAATGACATTGAAAACCATTAACTTGGGAAGCCTCTCACACAAGACCAGAACAAATTTTGATTTTGAAACTCTAAAGAACACTCTTGAACGCAGTTTAGATTTGTAATTGTTTCCTGGGTTGAAAAAGAAAGAACATGCTCTCTGGCATTTTCTGGGGATGCTCCGGGTTAGAATCAGTGCTTAGGGTTTTTGATCCCTCATAGACCTCTATCCAAGCCCAGTTCCAAAGCCCAGCACTGCATGGGGATGAGAAATTAGTCAGAAGATTCAGAGGTATTTGCTGACAGCCAGAAATGCAATTTCAGAAGTCTGAAGCTGTAGCCCCAAAGAGCTGTCCCAAATGGATTTGGTAGGCTGGCACTAGTCTGCGCTTCAGAGGAACAGCCTTTGCAGGAACGATCTGCTGGGGACCCAAAGCTCCAGCCACAGCTGTCCCCAGAATGGAAAGCACTTCAGGGCTGCAAAATCTGCTGGGAATGTTGACACTTACCTCTCCTCCTGTGGCAGCATCGGTCGCTGCATAGACCGTTCCGAAAGCCCTAGAAAGAAAACAGCAACGAAGAAGAGAATGAAAGCCAGCCCAGACAGGAGATCTCTGCTGCCTGGAGTGTTTATAAAACACCTGGCTCCATCTATGCTTCAGCCAAGAGCAGAGCAGCCCACCAGCCCTGTGCCATGCAGGGGATCCAAGAGAAAACTTGGGTGCAACATGAAGGACTGGAACAAATCTCAAACGTACGGCCCAGATTAATTTAATTCAGACCCCTCCCTAAGGTGGGGGAGCATATCCACAAAAACTGGAAAGTACTATATTTCCTTCCTTTTCCTTTTGGCCTTGCTGAGTGCTCAGATCTCTTACTGCTTTGTTCTCAGATCCCTCCTTTGAATGTCTCTGCCAATTTCAGGCAACACCCCCCATTCTGAGAAGCCTGAACACATGTGAGGGGCCATTTGAGGAAAGGATCTAGAAATGGATACCTCCAGCCTGTAAGGAAACCAGTCCCCAGCCACCTTTGAGGTCATTTGCCATCATCAGGATGCATTTTCCTCTCAACTGCATTGACGCTGGGTCTATTACTGAATTAGGTTTTACTACTTCTACTACAAAAGAGAGTTTCTTTTTTATCTCTGTTTTCCGTTTCTAAACGATGTGGTTATACTCCTGACCACTGACTATTGTTTTCCGCAAAATGTTGGAAGTTCCTGAGAACTGTTATCTGACAGCTCTCAGGGGTTCAGTTGCTCTTTTCGGCAAGAAAGTTTCTTTCTCCTTTCTTATCCTTGGCTGTATTATTTGGAGACATAGAGACATCATTTCTCCTAAGCAAAGAGGCAAAGAGGTGCCAGGCACTTGAAGGACAGGAGATCTTGCAGGTCCTGCTCCTTGCTGGGGCAAGACAGTGCCAGCATGCAGTTGTCTTTGAGGATGCCATCTGACCACAGTTCTAAGTTGGGATCAGCAGTGAGAGGCAGGAGGATGTAAACGCAGTGTCTGAACATGTTTGGAGCCTGTCTGACTTCCCACCTGACCTTGCACCAGCAAAATACCTGGGTTTGTGGAAGGAACTGTGGTCAGACTTACCCACTGGCAATTTTTTCCCATTCAGTGTAGTTCTTCATAGGATCTCCCACACTCACAATGCTCCCTGAAAGAAACCAAATGAAAGATGGTCACTTCAGAATGACGATACCAGCCTCCAGCAGGTCAGAACTGCAGCTCCTCTGCCTGGGGCTGTGAGCTGAAGTCAGTTGGGTAACAACAACAACAACAAGAGAGGCAGATCTGTAGTCCAGATGGCTTCCCCAAAGACTGGTTTTCTACAGTCCTTTGAAGAGTTACGTTGACAGGAAACTGGGAGAAAGAGGGAGAAACATTGCGAGGAGACAGAAAAGAACAGGTAGCAAGGCAAGTGTTTGTCGTCTAAGAACATTAACTGCCCTATCAGGCAAGAAATGCAGAAGACATACTCAGTTTCTCCAGGCCATCCTCCTCTGGCCTCTTTTGCTGCCAGTTGGTGCTGCTGGAGGAACTGCTGGAAGTGCTCTTGTAGGAGATCTCAGGTGTGGGAGTGTTGTCTTTGTCAGCGGCTTCCAGTGCAGCGGCTTCCAGGGCAGTGGAAGATTTTGTTCCAGAGCATGTATTGGTCTGTGACAAGAAATCAGTTTGTGTCAGAAAGGAGGCTTGCAGAGATACTTCTCATCAGTATTTCCAGCTTTAGGGAACAGCTGTTAAGTTCCAGCCCTTCTCAGAGACCGACCTTGTCTTGCCATGGCCGAGCTGCGTAGGACTTTTCTCAGCCAACTTTGGTCATGTAAAAGTTATGGGTGTAGTTTAAAGTGTCCATTTAGCTACTTAGATAGTCCGTGGAGGAGGGCAGGGACCTCCATTGGACAGTTTCTCCTAGGTATCCACACGCAGCCAGGCTGTGAACTGTGCCTTTGGAGCGCTGGCTCCGCTGGTGACAGGGAGGCTGCACAGACACTGTGGGCCAAGTTTCTCCCCATTTACAGACACAAGGCTACCTCTCATGCCATAGAGAGAGAAACTCACGGTCCCTGTCAGAATGCCAGGAAAACGATGACTGAACTTGAAAGTTCAGAACCCATTTTCCAGGTGTCAGTGGCTGAGGGGGAGGAAACACCTTGTTATGGTAGGACTCCAGCCCTCAGGATCTTCAGTCATGAGGGGCAAGTGCTGTCTGGTCTGAAACAGGCAGCTCTGAATTACACTAGTGAGAGTGCGAAGCAAAGCTGGCTCTTACAGATTTTGGATGTTCAGGCTCTGGTCCAACAACAGGTGGAGCTTCGTTGTTGTCTTCCTCCTCTGGATCCTCATAAAGCGAAGGAAGAGAAGGAGCCTGAGGAGGGTCATCTCCAGGTAGTTTCCTCTGTGGACAGACAGCAGCGTGAGCAACAGGGAGTTCCTTATCATTTAGAACCTTATTTACATGCAGCTATCTATCCAGCTGTCCTAAGGAGAAATCATAACCTTTGATAGCAAGGGGATTGTAAGTTGCTCCAACTAAATTCAAGGGGGCTAATTAGGCAGCATTGCATATTGTTGTGAACTGCTGTTGTTCCCCCATGGCTAAAAGCAGCAAGAAACTTTCTGTCTGCAAAACCAGACTGTCATCTACTTCAAAGACCTCCAAGAGCAAAATAAAAAAGAGCCAGGGAACCCATTTCTGCTGCTGCAAAGACACTGAAGAAGACTTTCTTTCTGCCTGGAGGGCTGGCAGTCAGTTGCAACAAGTCTGGAGGTCACGGCTTGCTGCACAATTCTGAAAGGCTAGGAACACCAAAGGTTACTTTGTCACTCACCGAAGGACGGCCTCTTCTGTTTCTAAACACATATTTACCTGCCATGGGGAAAGGGAAATGAAGCAGATGTTAGAAAACTGGCTGTTGTGGGGAATCCCATGGAAAAAGTCAACCCAAATGGAGAGCATTTTTCTTTCACAACATCCCCTTCAGTAGCACAGTTCTTTCACACAGCGAGCAAGAGAAGAGCACAATATACCAGGCTGTTCTTTTGCTACAGCTTCTTGGGCCTAGTTTTCTGTCCTGTTTTGCCAGGGCAGTTTCTATTTTTCTTATTCTAAATCAAATAAACAGACACTTGGTCAAGAAAAGGCACATTGTCCTTTGAGAGTCATTGATTCTGTTCTGCCCAAGAGCTAAAACAGCTGTCCTCTCCTCGCCCCGCCCTGCCTC